GCATTTTGGGAGTCTGAGGCAGGAGGACTACTAGAGGCCAGGAGTTTGAGATCAGCCTAGGCAACATAGCAAGACCCTATCTCTTAAAAAAAAAAAATTAATCAACTGGACATATTGGTGCACACCTGTAATCCCAACTATTTGGGAGGCTGAGGCAGAAGAACTGCTCAAGTTGAGGAATTTGATACCAACCTGGGCAGCATAGCAAGACCCTGTCTCCACAAAAATTAAAAAATTAGCAGGGTGTGGTGGCTTGCACCTGTAGCAGTCCCAGCTACCTGGAAGGCTAAGGAAGGAGCATTGCTTGAGCCTGGGAGTTCAAGAAGGCAGTCAGCTATGATCACATCACTGCACTCGGCCTGGGCAAAAGAATGAGACTCGGTCGGAAAAAAAAAAGAGGCACTTTGGGAGGCCAAGGTAGGTTGACTGCTCAGGAGTTTGAGACTAGCCTGGGCAACATGGCAAAACCCATCTCTACCAAAAATACAAACAATTAGCAGGGCATTATGGCATATGCCTGTGGTCCCAGCTACTCAGAAGGCTGAGGTGAGAGGATTACTTGAGCCTGGGAGGCAGAGGTTGCAGTGAGCCATGACTGCACTACTGCACTCCAGCGTAGGTGACAGTGTAAGACACTAAAAAGAAGGAAGGAAGGAAGGAAGGAAGGAAGGAAGGAAGGAAGGAAGGAGGGAGGGAAGAAAGGAAGGAAAGAAGGCAGGCAGGCAGGCAAAACAACACACAGCTAACTTCATGATGAATGGTGAAAAGCTTCCCCTAAGATCAGGAACAGTATGAAGATGCTCACTTTCACCACTGCTATTCAACATTGTACTAAATGTCTTAGCCAGAGCAATCAGACAAGAAAAAGAAATAAAAGGCATTCAAATTAGAAAGAAGAGGTAAACTATACATGCAGGTGACATGATTCTGTATAAAGAAATCCCACAGAACCTACAAAATAACTACTAGAGGTAATAAATTCAACAACATTGTAGGGCTTAAGACCAATATAAAAAAAATCAGTTGTTTCAATACACCACCAATGAGTAATTCAAATAAAAAAGGTAAGAAAATAATTTCATTTACAATAGAATCCTCAAGAATAAAGCACCCAGAAATAAATTTATCCAAAGTGATTAATGATTTGTATACTAAAACAACAAAGTATTGCTGAAAGAAACTAAAGAAGAAATAACTGAATGAAAACACATCCCATGCTTATGGACTGGAAGACAGTATTAAGATTGCAACCCCCCAAAACAATATACAGAATCAAAGCCCTCCCTATTAAAATTCCAATGACCTTCTTTGCAGAAATGAAAAAGCTGACATTCAAATTCATATAAAATTGCAACTGGCCCAAAATAGTCAAAACAATACAAAAAACGAAAAAGTTGGGAGACTCACACTTCCCAAACTTACTACATCAAAACTTACTACAAACCTTCAGTAATCAAAACAGTATGTGATATGGTTTGGTTGTGTCCCTACCCAAATCTCGTCTTCAAACTGTAGCTCCTATAATTCCCACATGTTGTGGGAAGGGACCTGGGGGGAGGTAATTGAATCATGGGAACAGGTTTTTCCTGTGCTGTTCTCGTGATACTAAGTCTCACAAGATCTGAAAAGCGCAGTTTATAAGCAAAGTAAGATAGTAAGTCTCACAAGATCTGATGATTTTATAAAGTGCAGTTCCCCTGCACAGATTCTCTTACCTGCTGCCAAGTATGATATGACATGCCTTTGCTCCTCCTTTGCCTTCCACCACAATTGTGAGGCCTCCCCAGCCATGTGAAACTATGATCCATTACTCCTCTTTTTCTTTATAAATTACCTAGTCTTGGGTATGTCTTAATTAGCAGCATGATAACTAACTACTATAGTGTGGTACTGATGTATCAGACATGCAGAGCAACAGAACAGAACTGAGAGTCCAGAAATAAATGCAAATATCTATGGCCAATTTATTTTTAACAAGGGTGCCAAGACCATTCAATAGAGAAAGAACAGTGTTTTCAATAAATAGTGCTGAGAAAACTAAATCAAAACATTCAAAAGAATGAACTGAGACTCCTATCTCATTCCATATCCAAAAATTAACTCAAATGGATCAAAGATCTAAAGGTAAGAACTAAAACAATGAGACTCAGAAGAGGCTGAGTGCAGTGGCTCACGCCTATAATCCCAACACTATGGGAAGCTGAGGTGGGTGGATTACTCGAGGCCAGGAGTTCTAGACCAGCCTGGGCAACATGCCAAAACCCCATCTGCACTAAAAATACAAAAATTAGCCAGGCGTGGTGGTGCACACCTGGAGTCCCAGTTACTCAGGGGGCTGAGGCACAAGAACTCCTGGAACCCAGGAGGTGGAGGTTGCAGTGAGCCAAGATCATGTCACTGCACTCCAGCCTGGGCAACAGAGTGAAACTCTGTTTCAACAAAAAAAAAAAAAAAAAAAAAAAGAGTTTAACATCCAGAATATATAAAGAACTTACAACTCAACAGACATCATTCCCCTCAAAAAAAATATACAAATGGCCAAGAGTCACATGAAAAGACATTCAATATCTTTGCTCATCAATAAAATACAAACCCAAACCACAATCTGATACCACTTTACGCTAACTAGAATAGCTTTAATCAAAAATACACACACACACACACACACACACACACACACACACACACACACTCCTTTTGTAGTTCATTAAATGTGATTGAGTATTCAAATGCATGTGTGAGATATGCCACCCTTAAATCTTGTTATGACATCGGCACATTACCCATGTGATATGAAAAAGAAAAAAATAAAAATAAATTTAGCAAAGATGTCCTGAAACTGGAATACTGCTCGTGGGAATAAGTTAAACACAATATTACCATATGATCAGCAATTCCACTCCTAGGTATATACCCAAGTGAAATAAAAACATACCTACCCAGAAACTTGTACACAAATGTTTACAGCAGCATTGCTCTTAAGAGCCAAAGAGGAGACACAATCCAAATGCCCATGAACAAATGAATAAACAGACTGTGGCATATACGTACATACAATGGATTATGATTCAGCAATAAAAAGGAACAAAATACTGACACACGCTGTAACTTGGATGTGCCTCAAAAACATCACGCTAAGTGAAAGGAACCAGGCACAAAAGACAAGTTCTATGATTCCTAGATGCTGTATCTAAAACAGGCAAATCCATAGAGACCAAAAGCAGATTAGAGGTTATCAAGGGATGGGAGGATTGGAAAATGGGAGTGATTACTTAATGGGCAAGGGGTAATGAAAAGTTGTTTTTTTGTTTGTTTGCTAAGACGGAGTTTCACTCTTGTTGCCCAGGCTGGAGTGCAATGGCTTGATCTCAGCTCACTGCAACCTCCACCTCCCAGGTTCGACCCAGGTTCAAGCGATTCTCTTACCTCAGCCTCACAAGTAGCCAGGATTACAGGCATGTGCCACCACACCCACCTAAGTCTGTATTTTCAGTAGATGGGGTATTTCCATGTCGAACAGGCAGGCCTCCAACTCCCGACCTCAGGTGATCCGTCTGCCTCGGCCACCCAAAGTGCTGGGATAACAGGTGTGAGCCACTGCACCCGGCCGTTGTTTTTCAGAAACAGGTTCTCGGTCTGTCCTCCAGGCTGGAGTGCAGTGGTGCGATCATAGCAGCCTTGAATTCCTGGGCTCAAACAATGCTCCTGCCTCAGCCTCTGGAGTAGCTGGGACTACATAAAGGCTCAAGCTGCTATGCCTAGCTATTTATTTTTGTAGAGATGGAGTCTTGCTCTGTTGCCCAGGCTGTTCTCAAACTACTGGAGTTGAGTGATCTTCCCTTAGCTTCCCAAAGTACTGAAATTACAGGTGTAAGCTACCATGCCTGGCCTGAAAAAGGTTTTTTTGAGATGGGAGTCTTGTTCTGTCACCCAGGCTGGAGTGCACAATAGCTGACCTTCACTTACTGCAACCTCTGCCCCTTGGGTTCAAGCAATTCTCCTGCCTCAATCTCCAGAGTAGCTAAAATTATAGGTGCATGCCACCATGCCTGGCTAATTTTTTGTACTTTTGTTTGTTTTTGAGATGGAGTCTCTCTCTGTCACCCAGGCTGGAATGCAGTGGTGTCATCTCAGCTCACTGCAACCTCCACCTCCTAGGTTCAAGCGATTCTTCTGCCTCAGCCTCCCAAGTAGCTGAGACTACAGGGACATGCCACCACACCCAGTTAATTTTTGTATTCTTAGTAGAGATGGGATTTCACCATGTTGGCAGGCTGGTCTTGAACTCCTGACCTCATGATCCGCCTGCCTTGGCCTCCCAAAGTGCTAGGATTACAGGGGTGAGCCATCACACCCAGACCTGAAAAAGCTTTTAAACTAGAGAGAGCTGGTGGTTGCACAACATTGTGAATACACTAAACACGGCTGAATTGCACATTTAAAAATGCTTAATTGTATGTAATGTGAATGTTACCTCAATAAAAGAAAATGTTGGGCTATAATTTATTGGTTCATTTATACAAATACTTGAGAACCTATCACATGCCAGGCACACTCCTAGTACACAGATTGACAGAAAAACACTCTCTAAAGGCCGGCATGGGGGTTCACGCCTGTAATCCCAGCACTTTGGGAGGCCAAGGCGGGCAGAGCATTGGAGGTCAGGAGTTCAAGACCAGCCTGGCCAACATGGTGAAACCCTGCCTCTACTAAAAAAAAAAAAAAAATACAAAAATTAGCCGAGTGTGGTGGTGCACACCTATAATCCCAGCTACGCGGGAGGCTGAGACACGAGAATCAAATCTGGGTCGCAGAGATTGCAGTGAGCCAAGATCGCACTACTGCACTCCAGCCTGGGCATCAGAACAAGACTTCATCTCAGAAAAAAAAAGAAAAGAAAAAGGAAAAGCATTCTCTGTTATGGAGAGAAAAACAAGGCAAGTGACCAGAGCAACAGCATGGGCTGTTTTAATTAGGGTGTTCAGGGAAGGCCGCTTTGAAGAGGTAAAATGTGAACAGAGACCTGAATAAATCGGAGGTGGTGTGTTTTTGTTGTTGTTGTTGTTGTTTCCTTGCTTGCTTGCTTGAGAGAGTCTGTCACCCAGGCTGGAGTGCAGTGGCGTAATCTCGGCTCACTGCAACCTCCACCTCCTGTATTATTCTGCCTCATACGACCTCTCATACCACCACCTCGACCCTAAAAAGTCAACTTAGGTCTAAGAACAAAGCCTCCCAAGTTGCTGGAACTACAGGCACGTGTCATCACACCCAGCTAATTTTTTTTTTTTTTAAGCAGAGACGGGGTTTTACCATGCTGGCCAGGCTGGTCTCGAACTCCTGACCTCAAGGGATCCACCCATCTCAGCCACCTAAAGTGCTGGAATTACAGGCATGAGCCACCATGCCCAGCGCAAATTGAAGAATATTATTATTGCTAAATGACAGGAAAAAAGTGCTAAAATATGAATTTAAATATACAAAAATTCATCATATGCTAAAACTGCTTTATTTTAAAAAGGGGAGTTATCTAAATATAGATGTTCCTCTTGTGCAAATACATTGTGATTCTGGTTTCTAGACATTTTACCCTTTTTATAAATAATTTATTTGCAGTCCAATAATGTCCTACTCCCACCGGTATTTCTTCCAGGGCTAGGCCATACTTCCAAGACAGCCTGTCATCCACCTTGCTAATAAGTCATTCCCTTTATGAAATCACTCAGGAAAGGAAAGGGGAAGATAAATGATCACCTCTGAAATATTAGGTTCTTATATTCTCTCACATACTCAGATGTTTCTTGTTCTTTTGAGACAGGGTCTCACCGAGTCACCCAGGCTGAAGTGCAGTAACACAATAACAGCTCACTGCAGCCCTGACCTGGGCTCAAGTAATCCTCCCATATCAACTTCCTGAGTAGCTAGATGGGACTACAGGACCACGCCACCATGCTAGCTAATTTTTAAATTTTTTTGTAGAGACAAAGTTTTGTAACACTGTGTAGACCATGTTGGATTAGAACTCGTGAGTTCCAGCAATCCCCTTGCCTCA